ACAACATTATTTCCATCTTATTAGCATATTCTGAGTATATTCTAATATTCCCGAAAAATATTTATAGAATATTCGTAGAAAATGCTTGTGTTATCTGGGATTCTTTTCATTGTCATGGTTACCTAATGTTGCGTAACCCATAAAAGTATTTGTCGAAGTATCAAATATTTCGGATGGAGTTATACTCATTTCGTCTAATACTAGTATACAATGTTTATCTAATTTATCTTTGAAACAGGCTATTTTAAGTTTCAGAAATTCAAAAATTTCTTTCAAAATTCCGCTATTAAATTTTAAATTTTGCAGTCGTCGTCTTAAAGTTCGTAAAGAGGGTAAAGGCATATGACGAAGTAATTCTTCATACCCTGAACGACCGCAGGTAAATTGGAATCTTAGTGCCTTTTCGATAGTCTTATTACTCCAAACTGGCATCTTTTTATAGTTTCTTGTTAATAATTGTAATTGATCAGTGTTCAATACTTTACGGCATGCTTTGATTATATTACTCTGATTCCCATTTACCTTTTCGTTAAGACGTTTAATTTTATATTCCGCATTTTTTAATTTTTTCTTAGTTTTTCTGTAAATCTGCTCTAATTTCACATTACGTTTTTGCAACTTTTCTATTTGTCGTTTTAAAGATTCTGAATTGTCAGTACACGAACTAGAAGTGTTCTCTTCTATCATTAATTCTTTTCTTTCAGATGTATCTATGCTGTTAGAATGTATTTCACTGTCCTTATCATTATCACTTATATTGGCTGGTGATATAGATCTATTATCCAATATTGTAATGTCTTCTTCAATAGTAGCTAGAGTAGGTGTTTCGGCAGTTTCAACTATATCTTTTTTTGCAACTATAAATATTTTTATTCATGAGATATAAAATATTTATTTATTTTTATGTTACCAGAAATTGTAGAAGACAATTATTACACAAGAACATGGACGTAAGAATATATGGACGGAGTGTAAGTTAGCGGGGGCCGAGCCAGAGCAGTGAGGGGAAAAGTAGTCATCACGAGGCGTCCTTACAATCACCTAGTCATCACATATGGTCGCCACCACGGTTTTACGGTGGCCGCCACCCAATTTCCCCTCACCGCGCTCGCTTGAGTCCCCTCGTCCTAAATCCTACATTACGCTCCGTCCATATATTCTTACGTCCATGCACAAGAACTTTTTCATGATAAAAAATTGGGAAACTCATGTAAAAAGCAAAATAAATAAAACTTACTTGTATCTCCAAACAAAGTTGGCACTGCATTTCTTTTCAGTTTCAATAGATCCTGACGATTTTCCCACATTTCAGGGGCAAAATATTGTACCTATACATTCATATTACCAATTAAAAATTTCACAAATTTCACAAATATTAATATAAATAATTTTCCTTAAAAAATTATAATTATGTTTAAATAATTATACCTGACACAACGCCGAATATTTATTTGGTGTCCAATTTTCTCTATTAACGTTAGATATCCATATTGCACATCTTTTTGGATCATTAAATGGAAACATACACATTTTAAAATGTTTTTTCGACGAATTAGAACACTTTTGTGCTGAGCAACTCGGCATTTTGTGCCTTAAACAAATATTAAATGTTTTCTATGTGTATGTATGTAAGATATGTATGCATGTATATATGTATGTACGTATGTAATCTGATCTGCATATTTCACTGCCAGAACTGAAAATTTACCTTTTGTACAAATTTTTAGATTGACAGTGAATACCAGATCACAGTCAATATATGTTTAGTTTAAGGTTAGGATTGTTAATTATATGCAATTTAATGTTGATAAGTAACTATAAAAAATAATAATTAAATTAAAAACTCCAAGCTTTATTATTAATAATATATTCTATAATTACATTAAAATATTAAATATATCATTGTAAAACTTACAAAATATGATAGTAAACAAATTGAGTGCCCCTGATTGTCCCATGAATCTATTAGCGTTTTCGATTTTCTGACTCGACCCCGAGACAGAAAAGTTTGATCAAAAGCAAGATTTGAACCACAATTTCTGCAAAAATCTTACTTTTGATCAAACTTTGCCCTGTTACAAATGGCGAATCAAAGAGCCAATCAAAAATCGACTAACGGTGTCCATACTCTCACTAGAGGTACTCTACATTTTTATTATGCTATCTCACTCTGCAGTTAGTAAAGCAGAAAATACTGTGCATTTCGTCGGTACGATAGGTTTCTTTCTAACTTTCTAACCCTATAAGTGGTCAACTTTAATAATTTTAATATTTCGCTTTGTGGAACAAAGCAACACTTTTTTTTCTGCCAGATTTTTCCGTTTCAAGCGAAAACGCGTCGAATGAGCCTAATTTCATCGATTTTGGAAGCGAGGGAGGCTAAACTGAATAATTACCGCTTTTATAAAACTGGCGTGAATTGACGGAAAATGGCGGACCAATGACAGCGCGCTTCCTTATGGCCAGACTCTGATTGGAGGGTCCCTAGCACATAGGCCGGTATTCATAGTCGATTCTTATTTCAAAATTATCTCAAGTGCAATGTTGAATGGACTATGAATACCGGCCTCAAGATGATTTTGAAATAAGAATCGACTAGGCATACACCGGCCTCAGTCTATATTTACTACGTCTATAGTGCACACACACACACACGTCGCTGCCCAGCGAGAAATGATTCGTCGATCGACGTCGAAACGACGTCGAATCGACATCGACACCGTCGATCGAATTGACGTCGATTCGACATCATTTCGACGCCGATCGACGAATCATTTCTCACTGGGTGGATCCTGCCAGGTGTATGGCGGAATACCACGTGATCGGGACCGCAGAGATCAAAAGAGCCGGCAGAGAGTGGACCTATTAGTTATACTATGATAATAATAGGAGGTACAGCATCACCGCGGCGCGAAGTTAGTCGCGCGACGTTCGAATTTCCGCCGTTCTTCGAGACTCGCGGCAGCGGTCCGTCGCGTCGCTTCGCGCGACCATACTTTAACCTTCGCGTCGATTCCTCCGGTGTGGCGCACAACAAAGCGCGAATCGCCAGCGCGATTAACGCCGGGAATGCCGTACAGAGCGCCGTGCGACCGTTGAACTCTGGTGATTAGCGAGTGCGCGATCTCAGTTAACCTCGCGAGTGTTAATTACGAGCGAGCGAAGGAGCAGCCATGAGGCGGTACGAGAGGCGGAGGAGGAAGAGGAGATCCGGGGAGGCGAAGCGACCGTAAAGTGAGTTAATTTAATTATTTAGTTCCTATTTGCCTAATTAGTCGTTTTCGCGAGAATCCAGTCGCGACGACTACTTTTCGTACGCTATATGATATAATAAAATTTTTAATTATCTCGAGTTTACTACATTTAACAAAATACCTGAAATATCTGATGTACGCAATGCTCCGTTACGCCTAACTGTTACAATCATTTAAATTATTTATCAATGTAGAATATTGCTCGGCGACGCTCGGCCGGCAAATTCTAATTAAAGAAATTCATTGCGCAAAATATTACCTCAGCCAGGATTTGAAACTGGACCTCTCTACACTCTAGGCGGACGTCTCACCAATTCGACCACTGACGCATGTTAGACGTGCCTCGGTGGTCGAATTGGTGAGACGTCCGCCTAGAGTGTAGGGAGGTCCAGTTTCAAATCCTGGCTGAGGTAATATTTTACGCAATGAATTTCTTTAATTAGAATTTGCCGGCCGAGCGTCGCCGAGCAATTCTCTACATTGGTCAATCAATTACTGGCGTTAAATAATTCTTCACGCAAATTAATTACGTGACGCTTAAATATGCACATTTATCGGGTGCTTTTCTAAAGATTTGAATCTAACAATAAACAATGTATTTTGGATATTTCTATCGTGATTTTTAAAGAATATAATATTATAATCTTTTTACGTGCGACTGTTAGCGCGGTCTTGATCGAAACAAAACCAAGATTCGCGCATTCTCTTTTATTATCGAATTCAATACTGTAAGACCGAAAGTTGTATACATGCAATACATACATGCTCGCGTGATTTGAAAAATACACCGTACGCTAACGCCCTCTCGCAAATACTGCGGCTAAAGATAGGAACAAGAAGACAATATTAGAGCATGGATGATAACTGCAGAAATGCAATTTTGTAAAACTATTATTGTATATTATCAAGAAATATTTCTTGATTCAACACTTTTTTCTCTCAGTGTACTTTTCTCGATTCAACGGGGTACTTTCTCTCCTCAATTAAATCGAGACTTCACTGTAAATACAATTTCTTGATTTCTTACTTCGTGAAACTTTGGAAAACTATTCAATTTCACAGCAAACTCTAAATTCCCTCCAGTTTATTCAATCAAACACTCAAGTATGAATAATCTTAAGTTGGAAGTGTCTATAACCTTGTGTCAGTGTTTCTTCTTTTGTTGCATTTTGAGTTGCGCTTCTCGCGCACTCGCGACACGATAATTATCTCTTAACAGCTTTACAAACCTGTACACACACACACACACACACACGGGCGCGCGCACACATATTTTTAGATGATTGCATCGGGATTATATACATCGTGCATCTAGCGGAGGCTGAAGTGTCACCATCGCTCTTCAAGCGAAGCGATGAAAAGTGGGTAGGGGCAAAACACACGGGTGGAATGAAAAAAGGACAAACACCAGCGGAATGTCCAGTTTTTGCGTGGCAGTTACTTACCTTAAACGAGCTAAGATTCTCATATAGAATAGCGGAGGCCTTTCCGATCCTCCTGCAGTCGCGACCGCTTCCAGAGGCGACGAAACGCGGCGCCCGTCATTCTCGAACGAGACGTAATTGCGATGCGGCAAATATGAAACCCTTCATAATTCCGCCGGCCATTTGTCCTTAATTCGTTTCGTTTGTTTTTACACCGGCCACGGAATTGTTTGTCCGCGTTTGTCTCCCGATTTCTCCGATTATTCCCGCGGTCAACTTATTCTATCTTTATCGCGATTTACTGTGAAGATTTTTTTTTTAAATAACGGCAAATCATAGAAACGCCATCTCTTATCGTCGAAAGATGAACTCTTATAAAGATCGAGGCCGAAATCTCGCAACTGTTATATCGCGTAATGTACAATACTTGTCAGGCTAATATTACATTTGTCGAACGACAAACTTTTCAAGTGTGTTGATTGGCCGCGGGATTGAAAAGTTCTCGTGTATCTAGAAATTTTCTAGCTTGTAGTCAATCAACACGCTTGAAAAATCTGCCGTAATTTGTCGAATCGACGTCGTTTCGACGAATCATTTCTTACCGAGGGCAGAATAGAAAAGTTCTAGAGACTCAAGAACTTCTCTATTCTGCGGCCAATCGACCTTCTTGAAAAATTTGTCGCACGACAAATGTAATATTAGCTTTGATCTTGCGATGAGAAATATCTCATTTCTATTGCTGAACAGGAAGTTGCATCGTGTAACGCTAATTATTACGCTACTCCTAAATCTATTATCAACGTTCATTCATTATTCAAGCGTGAATTATTCTGTTATTATCGACGCTGAAACAGCGCGAATGACGGCGCGTTAAAGAATTATTACAATTAGTTCTTCGATGCAGACGGAAGTTTCTTTTTTATCGGTCGCCGTGTCTACATGGGCAAAACGCCAGCCTCGGGTGTGGTGCCCTTTTCTATCTCACACAAAGAACAAATGCCAGTTGGTTTTGAGACCGACGCACGGAATCTTAATGATGTCTCGTCACATACCCGATAACGGGCTTCGACGGACTTAGAACTCCGAGTGCCTCGAGTGGCACAGAATGTACCGTGTAGTTTAAATAAACTTCTCAATTGTGAAAACATTTTACGTACTATTACTGAAACCAAGTCTGAAACAGCCGACTCGCTTGTTAGTAATTATACAATTTCCAGAAAGGAAGACGCGAGCGCTGACGAAATAATTTTACGTGGGTTCGTTACTACTTACTTTTATTCGAATTGATTACTTGAAGCGTATCCGTAGCCATAGCGCGTTTAATTTCGCCAAAAAAGGAAAATTATTGTCGTAATTATTTTTTGCCTTGTTAATTAAACAGACACTTCTCGGTGCATAAACTGGTAATTTATTAAACTGTTTAAATTACGAGTACGATACATAATTAATGCTCGAATAACGTATTACACTGAACAGATAAAAAAACTTTTTAATTAAGAAAATTAATAATAAATACATACGCGACGGACAGGTCAGTTAACGGACAAGAACTAACTGTTTACAGAGCTTAATTATTTACCGAATCATTAATACAAAACTGCGCGGCATATTTCGTATTGTAACATACACAAAAAGTTTCGATAACTGGAGCACTATTGCAACAGTATATTCCTGAAGCCAAATCAAGTAAAAAAAGTCCTGTACTACTTTACCCTCCGACAAACAGTTATCGAGATATCATAAGCTAAACATTGAAAAAGTTATAAATTTTCTCTTGAATATCTCCAAAAGTATTAGGCAAATCGAAAAATGTTTCGGACAAAAGTAGTTCCTATTAATTAATACAATACGACAGTATAATAAACAATAGGGGATTCCATTTAAAAAATAGAAGGTGACCTCCACGTGGCCTTCAAGCAACTATTCAAGATCAAACCAATGGCACCACCTTATGTCCCCCTTGGAACCAAACAACTTTTGTTTGAAACGTTTCTCCGTATATTTCATATTTTTGGAGATATTGTCGTGGATCATTTAAAATGAGACGCCCTGTATATTATAATATTTTCGCGCGGTATACCGCTGACCAAAATCTTGTACACCAATGCCCACTAATGCCCAGTAGGCATTGCTTTATCTTTTTTTATCTCATTCACCTTGTTTGATCGTATTTTATCTAATGTATCTTATTTTATCTTTATAGCCAGCAAGGCCTAATGTCGAAACTAATGCCCAATGCCTACACTGAAAAAAT